AAAATAGACTACTGTAAGTAATTATTAACTACATCAGTTAATAACAAAAAGCCCGCCAAAATCAATTAGCGCTATTTTCGCGTGACAACATTTTATATCAAAAAACAAAGCAGTGACAACAGTGGAGTAATGACCATGTATACAGATAGATAGATGAGTTCTGTTAAACAGTTCACTTGTACTATTTACAACATGAGCGGCCGTGTTGTATCGGATATACAAACTCGAGCAGAAGGCGAGAGTTTGTACGTCCAATACAAAACGGACGCAAATGTTGCAAATGGCTTAAAAAACGACTCATCTTATGAGTTCATTGGCAAAGTAATTTTAAAAATAAACATTGTCTATAAAGCCAAGAAAATCAAAGTTAAAGTTTATGTAAATCAACACACTAAATGAGTATTTGGCAACCAACTACTGGAATTTCACACAGATCCTATAATACTAGAAACCCTTTACAATTAAATTGTTTTTACACAATGCAATATAATGCATATATAGACATGCAACTGAAAGTAACTGTTTGCAGCATTATTCCATCTTCACTTTATACTGTCTCTATAGGATCTAAAAAGCACAGGAATGAGATACCATCATTTTACAACTTTCAACTTCTTTCAAATTTATTAATTTTAATCTGCTTCTTTGGAATAAAACACCATTGAGGTCTTCTCAGAGGAGTGATAATTAATCATGACTATGACTTTAATAAGGAACATATTGCACAAGCAGGCATGGGATGGTATATACAAGGCATTGCGTTTAAGCACCCACCATTAACATAAATAAGGTCACTACAACGCACCTCCTATTTTTTCTACCATCCTGAATCATTTGTTCCTTTAACAAATCCCACAAGCGGCATAATTTGTTTGCATTGATAGAAACAAACATGAGCTGATATGAGTATATTATGATCTTGTCCACATTAAAATTCACCATTTCCAAAACAATAAAGTTCACGACCAATTTCCTCATTTATCATGTGTTAACTTATGGTAGCCTATAATTCACCGATGTCTATCAGAAATTCCCATTTGAAAGGTGTTGTCACGACTGTATTCATGATTCATCCCATTTGAAAGGTGTTGTCACGACTGTATTCATGATTCATCTCAGTCGCACTCAGAAACGTCGTCAAAAATATAGACACGTTTCTTTACGATTGAGTTCATTTGAATGTAAAAGAGGTCCCCAACATTCTTGAACACGTGCTTTTTCTTAAAATACCATATTTGACATGA